TTAAATGTCTTTGAATGCTAAAAAGATAATCATAAGCAAGATTTAACTTTTGTATTAACTAAACTAATGGTCAAAGAATTCAATTTTCTTATATGTTGATTCTGAAATATCAAACAGAAGGAGAGAATTGGGCAATGATTGGATTACTTGAGTAACTGGATGAAACTTTCAATAATTTTGGACAATATTTTCAGTAAGGAGAAGCATGCTCCTCGTTACTTTTGGCTTCTCTTATGACTGTAATCTCATACATTTTCATAAACACTAAAAGAATACAGATTTTAAACTGCCTTGGGATAAATTTCTCAGGAGTCCTCTTGCTTGCTACTGTAATAATACTATGTTTTGATTTTATAGACTTTGGAGTTGTCAAATTTTATGACCAATTACACCCATATATGTGAACATTTAAAGAACTTAAAAGCTCCACTCTATTTTCACTGCAGCATTATTTACAATAGCCAATATAGGGAAGTAACCTGTGTCCAAGGGAGATGAATAAAGAAGTGATGTGTATATATATAATTTTACATATATATAATATTCCATTATACACACACACACACACACACACATATATATATATAATGGAATATTATTCAGCCATTAAAAAAGAATGAAATGGTACATTTTAGAACAAAATGGATGGACCCAGAGGGTGTTACAGTAAGTGAAATAAGTCAGAGAAAGACAAATACTGTATGATTTCACTTATATGTGGAATCTAAAAAAGAAAGAAACAAAGGAGAAACAGACTTGACACACAGAACAAACTGGTGGTTGTCAGATGGGAGGAGGATGGGGGCTAGGCAAAGTAGGTGAGGGGTATTAAGAGATACAAACTTCCAGTATAAAACAAGTCTCAGGGATGTGATGCACAGCATAGGGAATATAGTCAATAAAATAGTAATAACTTTGTAAGTTAACAGTAACTAGACTTCCTGAGGGGATCATTTCATAATTTATAAAAATATTGAATCACTCTGATGTATACCTGAAACTAATAGAATACTGTATGTCAATTATAGTTCAATTAAAACAAAGAAAGAGTGGATACCAAATAGCTTTTAGGAACATGACACCTTACTCTTCTCTTAAATTGTTGAAGAGAGCAAAAGAAGGCTTAAAATCTGAAGGTTAAAATTATTATTTATAAACATCCTAGAATACATTGAAATAAAAAAGGAGGACAATATATTGTGTTTTTATAGGTTAAATCCTGTTATAAATGGATATCATTTCTATGGGAGTCTATTTCCTGTTTTCCTCTTAATGCCTTTATTTTATTTATTTATTTATTTATTTATTTATTTATTTATTTATTTATTTATTTATTTATTAATTATTTTTATTTATTTGAGAGACAGAGAATGAGAGACAGAGAGCATGAGAGGGAGGAGGGTCAGAGGGAGAAGCAAACTCCCCGCCGAGCAGGGAGTCCAATGCGGGACTCGATCTTGGGACTCCAGGATCATGACCTGAGCCGAAGGCAGTCGCTTAACCAACTGAGCCACCCAGGCGCCCTTAATGCCTTTATTTAAAACCTCTGCGGGGACATTTGAGTTTCTCTCTGAAGAAATGGGTAAAAAAAGTTGGTTATCCCGACCCCTGCCCCCGCCCTCCAGCCAAATAAGGCCCGGCTGGGAGGGCATTTCTGCTGCCTCTGAAATCTTGAACTAAACATCAAAAGAAACAGCATCAAGTGTCAATGTTGAGCTAAGGCAGGGAGTGGGCCCCAGAAACCTGTCTGGCGGAGCATCACTGTGCGTGCACCGCCCCAGGTGTGCTGAACATGCAAGGGCTCCAGGCTGTGGTGGAGCCTGGGGTGGGCGATGCGCATGCGCAGCAGGGAGTCCTGGCCAGGGCCGCAGGGGCTGCTGGGAGAGCCGCCCACAGTGTCAGGAGGTGGTGCGGCGCGGGCTTGCCTGCCTTCCGGCCTCTGTGCCTGTGTGTTTTTTGCGCCACCTGGCAGGGACAGCTGGTGTTGTCCAGAGGGCCTCGGGGCAGGGTCGTCCACTGGTGGAAGACACACTGGGGGCAAGCCTGGCTGCCTGTGTGAGACGGCAGGTGGGCGTGGACTCCTTGAAGGGCAGAGAGGCCCTCCTGACAAACGTGGGTGTGCTTGCCAGCGGGGACTCCTGGGAGACATGCCCTGCTTCCAGAAGAGGATTCCGTAGCTGTCACCAGCCACTTGTCGGGGACACTGGATCTCCATTATGTAGGGGGGCCGTCAGCACGCGGGGGTAGAGGCGGCGCCGGGTCGTGGAGAAGATCCAGATCACGTTCAGGGTCTCGCTGTGGAAGATCATGCCCCACGGTTCTCCTCGTGCAGTGCCCCCACTTTGTGGGATGTTGCTGCAAGGCACGTGCTTGGTGGGCCCACATAATGGCCATCTTGAGTGTTCTCTGGATAGGCTTCTGGTATAGCCCTCCGCCCTCCTGGCCATGTAGTGGGGGCCTGTATTGTGGTGATCTTTTCACAGTACGTACAAATAGGGAATGAGTCCTAACCTTGGGCAACCATCTGTCAGGGACATGGCAGTGATTTCAGAGTTGTGTGGGTCAGACAGCAGTTGTGGTCAGTCTGGTCCCAAAAACGGGAAAATAAGCTGTGGTTGTTTCAGTGAGGGGGTGATTAGTACTGTTTTACAGGTCATTCTAATGAAAATGCCAAAATTGAGGGCTTCCAGAGAGTTAATGAGAACAAGACTCAGAGACGGGGCTAGTGTTTTAGTGTCTTCCATTTCATCTGAGACTTCCTTCTTTTGGCAGGAGAATCCCATCATAGCCCTTTTATATTCTGCAGTGCTTCCATAGTGCCTGTAACATGGGGGAAAAAAACATAGAAAGAAAGAGAATTTAAAAGTAAATCTATCTACCTTAGGATTAATGTCCTTAGTTTTTATTGGTGTAATACTGATTTTTGACTTTTTAGACTTTAGACATAGCCATTTTTATCAAGATGTGTTAATACTGTTTATACATTTGTTTGTTCAATTAATAAATGTCAAGCACCTGCTGTATTTCAGATGACATGATGAACAGAGCTAGTAGTGGACATAGAGTATTTAAGAACACACATTCTCTGTGTAGTGGAATAAAAGCAAGGAAACGGTCATAAAATATGCTGTCAAGTGAGAGCTATGATTGAGATAAACATGATCCCTGAGAGCATAGAAGAGGGAGACTTAATCCAGTCCTGATGGTTAGGTAAGGCTTCCCTTATTTCAGTTTTTCTCCCATTTCTGAGGATTCTGTATCTGTCCACATACACACACAGCATGTTTAGCACAGAACCAGTCCTATAGTAAATGCTGAAATGGATGCTAGATCCCACAAGTGTTTCTGACTTTTTAGAAGTATCCATGGCTCTTGTCTCATCCCCAATCTCTGCTCAACTCTCTGTCTTCCTTTGGCCAGATCCATGAGGACGGTTGTGGACTCTTGCACCATCACTTAGGTGCAGAAATTGCTGAAGTTTATTTGTCTGGAGTGGATAAACATGCCTCCTTGATATGTTAATGAAACTTGAGTGAGCAAAGTCACCAATTTTCCCCAAACTATGGGCTTTTGTAGGGAATTTGTCATTGTCAGTGCACAGGCAGCCATAGATTTTAAATGGAGGAACTTCTTTGAATTTTGAGGAAGTGTTTATGAAACTCATTTTCCTGTTTTGAAATAAGGTAATTAAAATACAGAATACAGTGTTTTTTGAAGTGTGATTTGAAGACTGCCTGCATTAAAATCACCTGGGATGCTTTCAGAATGCAAAGATCGTGAATCCATCATTGCTTTGCTGAATTAGAATTCTGGGAATGAATCCCAGAAATGTACTTTTTACACTAAGCAGCTTCAGGTAATTCTAATTCACAATCCATCTGCAGGAGTAGTTGCTATTAAAGCTTGGTTAGAAGGATTTGCTTATGTGAGAAGTCTCTCTTAATGGACCAGGATGCATTCTCAGAAATACATCATGAGGATATATTAAATCAAAACTGTGACCTCATAAAATGTGTTGTTTATGGACAGAAGAGTCGGTCACTGAAAAGTTGCTGTGAAGTTGAAGGCCTCTTAAACATTTCTTCTTACCTGCAGTCATTAAGAGATCAGCTGCTTCCTCTTTTAATTCTTTGTGAGGCATCAATGTTTTTCTTTAACATCAATATTTAAATAGCTTTTAAATCAAATTATTTTGTGTAAAGAATCTTTTAATGTAATTTCTAAATGCTAAATTCTCAAAGGGGAGCCCCCAAATTTAAGGATTTACATTTGAAGTCAAATTCCATTCCTATACATGGGGAGATAGTTTTTTTCATTTCTGTCTTCCTCCTTGATCTCACATGCAATTTGAAGAAGAAAATGTTAGGGAGACTTTCAGAGAAAGAACTGTATGTCCAACCATTGGGTTTTCTGGTATTGCTCCCTCCTTCATTAGGAGGGCCCAGAGGATCTTGACCTAGGAAGTGACACTTGCAGTTTTATGGTTCTTCTTAAGAAACACATTCTCCCTAGTTCATTTCTTTAACTCAGTTATCAGAGTTCTATCTGTATTTAAAGCTATTAATGTCTAGTTCTACCATTAGCCTGTAAACCTCCTGCAGTCAGGATTAGTGTTTGACCTCGGAACTTGATATAGTACTAGGCAAATATAGGTGCTCATTAGGAATATTAGTTATGATCATTAAGTATATTAGCTGACTGGATAAGTTAACACATTATTTTTTAAAAACACCTTATGGCTGTTAATGATGATTTCTTCCTAAAATCAGATTTAATAAAAGTTTAAATGTTAAAATGCTTATCTCCTGTATCTCCATCCTGGTCACTGTATGGAAATGTTCCTCACGTGGCTTTTAAGCTTAAAAGTGTTTTTAAATAATAATTTTTGATCAATTCTTTGTTTCTTATTTTGGTTTTGGTCTTTTAGGTATCATTAGACAAAGCCAATGTCTGATGCAAATTACTCTGAAGAGTCTTAATTTGTATTCTTGGGACTTTCTATGTATAGACCAATGCAGCATTTTCTCCTTGCTTTCTCTCCTGTGTTCTATGTAACAATCATTCTGGGAAACCTTCTTGTTGTGTTTACAGTGACCTTTGACCCTTACTTACATTCCCCCATGTACTTCCTTTTAGCCAGTCTCTCATTTATTGATTTATGTTTTTCTACCTTAACAGTTCCTAAGATGATTCATGACTTGTTCTCTGGGCACAAAACCATATCCTTTCAGGGATGTGTCATCCAGATATTTGTCCTTCATGTCCTGGGTGGATCGGAGATGGTGCTACTCATCTCCATGGCCTTGAACCTATATGTGGCCATATGTAAGCCCCTCCACTATCTGACTATCATGAACCCGCAGATATGCATTTTGCTTCTGTCTGGTGCTTGGGCTATTGGCTTCATTCATTCAGTGGCCCAGTTAGCTTTTGTTGTCCATTTGCCTTTTTGTGGTCTCAATGAGATAGATACCTTTTACTGTGAACTTCCTTGGTTTATCAAACGTGCCTGCACAGACACCTACAGAATGGAATTTGTGGTTATTGCCATCAATGGGTTCATTTCCATGGGCACCTTCTTCTTATTGCTTATCTCCTATACCTTCATCCTGGTCACTATATGAAAACATTCCTCAGGTGGCTTGTCTAGGCCTTTTCTGCTCTTTCAGCTCACATCACTATGCTGATTTTGTTCTTTGGACAATGCATCTTTGTTTGTGTGTGGCTGTTTCCCACCGTGTCAGTGGATAAGTTTCTTGCCATTTTGGATTTTAAGATTACACCTATTCTGAATCCTATTATCTATACATTGAGGGATAAGGACATGAAGATGGCAATGAAAAGATGGAGTTTGAGGATGATCTTCAAAATAACTCAGGAGAAAACAAGTGGTATGCACAAGTATTAAAGGGTTCTGTCAGCAGCTCAAAGTTCTTGGATAGTTTATTCCATGTTAATGGAATATATATATATATATAAGGCTATCTTGTATTTTTTAAGATTTTAATATCCTTAAAGTACACTTTTTTGTGTGGCTTATACATTGACTAGTCTATGGAATCTTGTAAAGTTTTATGGATTTCAAGGCACATTTGCAGAGCTACTGGTGTAGCTGATACTTTTCTCTGTCACTGAGTTGAAAAATATTCTCATGTAAAGAGAATGATTGGTTCTTATAAGTTATTTTTGGCAAGCAAATTAGGCTTGTTAAGTTAATTCAAGGTGCTGTTAACTTTTTTCCTTTATTTAATAGATACACTCAGTTACATGAATATAATTTTTGTCATAGATTAAATATTGTCTCATTCACATATGCAGAAAACAATCCAGTGGATGAAGAAATAGTTAAAATTATATCTGGTTTCTAAGTGGGCAAAGTTATATCTTTTTCCTCTCAACTTTGCTTTTAACTATTTCCTTTAAATGTGTAGCGACAGTAAAAAGATATGAATTAAGAAATTATATTCATTAAAGAGAGTAGAACTATGATGGCATTTAGAAATGTTAAATTAAAAAGAAGGAACTCCTATGCAGTATTGCTCAACCATGGATACAGTGCATTACTGAACACCGCTCCAAGCTCAAGCATAAAGCCTCTGCTTTTAAACTTACGGGCCTGACTTGACTGTTCATCACCCCACAAATCAAAACAATGCCTTTTGAAAAACTTTAGTTGTTGAATTTTTTTTTCTTACAGTGAGATGGAATTTGCTTCCCTATGTATTTCATATTGTATTTCTTGTTTATAGTCTATGATTGTGCAGAATGAACTATCTTCCATAATGTCTCCTCTTTTCATGGTTGAAAATTAAACATGATGATATATCTTCTAGCTTTAAGGATAAATATTCCTTCTGAGGCTAAACATCTTAAGTCTTTTTAGGCACAGTTCCCCATTTTGAAAATTTCATGAGAGTTATTATGAGGCAACCTGTAATGTCAGTTTAATTTTCTGTTAAAATCTGTTTCTTTTGGAACCCAGATACAAGCTGATATTGATTCCAGCCATGAAGCAGAGAAAAATATATGATAATATTGCATCATAAATGAAATGTCATTAAATCTGCAGCACAAGATATATAAGAATATATGAAATAGAAATTCAAAATCTTTGACTGAAAATGACTAAAAATTTAGAAATAAAGAGTAAGAGCCAACTGAAACTCAGAAAAAATTTGGACAAGACAAAGTTATAATTTACATTAGCCAAACTATCAAAGCAGTCCAGGTGTCATTTGATAAATGAATGGGTAAAGGAGATGTGTATATTACAAGGGAATATGATTTGGCCATCAAAAAGAATGAAATCTTGCTAGTCACAACAATGTGGACAGAGCTGGAGAGTATAATGCTAAGTAAAATAAGTCAGAGAAACACAAATACCATATGATCTCACTTATATATGGAATTTAAGAAACAAAACAAACGAGCAAAAGGAAAAAAAAAAAAAGAGACAAACCAAGAAATAGACTCTTAACTATAGAGAACAAACTGATGGTTACCAGAGGGGAGGTAGATGAGAGATGGGTGAAATAGGGGATGGGGATTAAAAAGTACACTTATAGTGATGGAAAAAAAATAATAACCCACAAATTCCTTTTCCAAAAAACAGGAAAAAACAAACAAACAAAAACCACAAGAGACTTTACAGAACGGAGCCAGGCAAATTGTTACTTGCTTGAAATTTTGGAATCATACAGATGTTCCCTTATGCTCTTGGGTTGTTCAGGGAATATAATACTTCACTCAGTGTAACTCCAAAATCATACTATTATATGTTGCAGTATAAACATTGTGAAATCACCCAAGCTGCAGCTATTAAAATTTGTGTAAGGTTTGTCTTACTATGAAGAAACGGGGTATAAGGGACACTGGTTAGAATTGTTAGTTTGCTCTAAAGATAGTTTTGCTGGACATCAATAGATAAATAAGGAACCAGCTCCTAGATACCTAAAGAAGATCAGAATGGCCAAAATACAATGAAGGGTACAGGATATAAGGATTAAAAGAACCAAGAAAATGAAACCTAATTTAAGATGGAGATAAAATTTTTTCAGAAAGTTGTATAGAACCAGGCAAGTGATACTCAATATTTGTATAATTTGAAAGTGAGACAACATAACAGAATTAACATTTCAAACTTTTATTAATTTGTCAAATAAAAGGCTAGAATCTACATAATGAAATAACAGTGAACTTGAGAAAATTGGTATAAGATGCTTAATTCCAAGGCATAGCCTAGGAAAATTATTATATATTTAAAATATAGTATCTTCTGAGCCTCCCATCAAAATAACTGAACAACCTAAACAGGAGAGCAAATCAGGTTGGCATCTGACTTCTTGATAGTAGTATACAAAGAAGGTGACAATGGAGCTACATTTCCAAAAGACTCAAGGAAATAAAATGTGGTATAAAAATTAATATATGTCATCAGAGAGGGAGAAAAACCATGAGAGACTCTTTGCTCTAGGAAACAAACTGAGGGTTGCTGGAGGGGAGGTGGGTGGGGGGATGGGATACCTGGGTGATGCACATTAAGGAGAGCACGTGATGTAATGAGCAGTGGGTGTTATATACAACTGATGAATTATTGAACTCTACCTCTGAAACTAATGATGTACTATATGTTGGCTAATTGAATTTAAATTGAAAAAATATTAATGTATAGCCAATATATCTTTCAAATATATCAGGGTTAAAGAAAATGATTTTAAGTATGCAAGCTTTTATAAGATGTTGTATGTACAAGCACTTCCTGAGATATCTAGAGGATTCTCCATGCAATTAAAGAGCTGTTTGAAGACCCTTCGGCTATACTGTTGCTTAGAATTTAATACATTGTATTATAGATTTAAGACCTAAAAATGAGAGTACACATGAAAAAATAGTATGGAAGGGTTAATTCTCTGATAAATTAAACATTTTTAATGGTGGAGATAGAGAAACAAAAATTGTGGAATACTTTGTTGATTTTTCTCATCAGCAGTAGGTAGGAGTCAGAAAATATAATGGAACTGGCAGCCCAAAAATGGAAGCCCATTTTTGTGTGTGTGTGTGAGGTAACTAAGCACATTACAGAAAGACAATAAAATAAGTTATAAAATTTTATACCAAAACAATATAAAAATAAATTTCAAAAAATTAAAAATAGCAAGTAAAGGAGATAGTATTATGGAGGCCATGTTAATAGTAGCACAAAACAAAACAAAAGCAAGACAGTAAACAAAGTAGGACAGATTTATTGCTTATCAGTGTTCAATCTGAGGTCAAGTGGGAAGTACAACAATTGAAAATAAAAATCAGACTTAAGCCCAAGCATATCATTAAATATAAATGATCTTAATTAATATACCAATTAAAAGGTAGAGATTGCCAGAATGGATAAAATAAACAAGTATAAGCTGTAAGAAACTCACTTAGAATGTCACACTATATGTTGGCTCAAGTAAAAGAAAGGGAAAGATATACAAAAGAAACTTTATTTTTTTTAAAGATTTTATTTATTTATTTATTTATTTGCACGAACACACAAGAGAGCACAAGCAGGGGGAGGGGCTGAGGGAGAGGGAGAAGCAGAAAAAAAAATCTTCAAATAATATAATCATACTAAGCTAGATATTTTGGGTCTATGAATATAGATCAAATTTTATAGCACAATACTAGAATACATTTTTTAAGTTTACATGTAACATAACTGGAAACACCAATGATTGGTTATTTAATGTCTAGTTCCTTCACTAAGGAGTAGAATTCCTGAAGGCAGGTGGGAGTTTTATGCCAGAACCTGACATAGTATCTGGTGTATATTGGTTATTTTCAGTAGGTGGTCAGTGAAAACTTTTTGAGTGAATGAATTCTTAAAAGCACCTTGTGCTTGATAGTAGAGATTGTTTAAAATTGCCCACAATTGGAAACCAATTGAAATCTTCTTTCAACATTTCTAACATACTTAGTTTCAGTTTTTTCTTTTATGTAAGCACAAAATCAGTAAATAGAGGGAACTAATTTGTGGTGAGTGGATTTCTATTCCTGGCCTTTTATAACTTTTGGCCAAGGTAACTCTTCCTATTTTCTATTTCTTAAAGCATTTTCATTACCCCAAATAAACCTCATACCTTTTAGCAGTCAGTCCCATTTCCCTTTTCCTCACATCTCCTGGCAACCATGAATCCACTTTCTGTCTCTATGGATTTGACTTTTCTGGACATTTTATATAAATGGAATCGTATGTCGTTTTTGTGTGTGTCTGGCTTCTTTAACTGAGCATAATGTTTTGAAGGTCCATCTATATTGTAGTATGTATCAGAATTTCATTTCTTTTATGGCTAAGTAATATTCCATTGTGTGAATATGCCACATTTTGTTTATCCATTCATCACTTGGTGAATGTTTGGATTGTCTCTACCTTTTGGCTATTGTGAAAGTGTTTCTACAAGCATTTATGCACAATTTTTTGTTGAACACCAGTTTTCAGCTCTCTGGAGTGGAACTAACTATATGCGTCATATAGTAACTTTATGCTTACAATTTTGAGGAACTGTCAGACTGTTTACACAGGGACTGCACCATTTTCCATTCCTGCCAGCAGTGTATGCACATTCCAATTTCTCCATATTGTTAC